TTCCTGCTGCTTGGTTCGGGAGGCCTCGGCATTGGCCCGGAGCACAGCCCCCGGGGATGGGTAAGGGCGCTGCTGGAAGAGGGGCCCGGCTGCTGTTGTGTCTGCACCCGTCTTGGCCTCATTCCGCTTGGGGAGTCCTGTTGACCACGTGCCCCTGGGGGTGACAAGGGGCGGGGGCGGGAATGTATAATATGTGTACTGTGGCAGGCACCTCCCACCCACAACTGACAAAGGGGGAAAGGAGACAGGAAGAAAGGAACGGTCAGTGGTGCAGTGAGTCAAGAGGAAAAAGGAAGGGCTCTTGAGGGGTGGTCAATTACCGGGGTGCATCTGAGTACGAACTGGGGTCCATGGGGTCTAATTCTTCATCCTTCCGGCTTGCCACTGTGGAAGTAGGTGGCAGAGTGGGGTCTTCGACGGGGTCACAAGGAGTCCCCGATCACCGAGCTCTCCCATCCCCAGAAGAAATGGAGCCTGAGGCTTCCAGGCCCCAGGCTCAGGCACTCGTGTGAAGCCAAGCGAGGGCTTCCTTACACTGTGCCCCCCTGGCGCCCCCCTTGCCTCACCCCAGCTTACCCTTCTTGCTCTTGGGGTAGGGAGCCAACTCCTCCCGGCGATGGTGGCGCCGTTCTTTGCCCTCTTCCCGGTCCACCTTGTCATACCCGCGGTCCCGGTCCCGATCCCTGTCCCGCTCTCTCTCTCTGTCCACCTTGTCATAACCACGCTCCCGGTCTCTGTCAGACTTCTCGTGGCTCCGTTCTGACTTCTCATGGCCGCGTTCCGACTTCTCGTGACCTCGGTCCGATTTCTCGTGGCCCCGGTCCGATTTCTCATGGCTCCGATCCAACTTCTCCTCAGCATCTGGGGACATGAAAGCCTTGTGACCTTCCTCCTCCCACCTCAGGACCCAGCAGCCTCTGTCTTCAACAGACTCCTTTGTCTGGGGCTGGGTCTGCCTGGTCTTACCCGCCCTGGTCTTTTACCTGACCCCTCTTGGAGAACTGCTAGAACACTCAAGGCACCCTTGTATCTGCCAACTCACCTGCATTACTGCTCCTGAGCTTCTTGGCAGATTTGGAAACAACGGAGTTGGGATCATGTGGGGACAGCCAGGACACGAGGTCTGTGTCCGCATTCCAGTAGTAAGGGAGCCCGCTGCAGGGCAGTGGAGGGAGGGAGGGAGGGAAGGAATGTCAGCATGGATATCCTCTCCTTGTAGCCTCAACTCTTGTCTCCCCAGTCTCTGCCTGTACCTGCCCCATGCCAGGACCCTACAGGGAGGGACCCCCAGATCTCTTCCCTTGTGGCCCCCATTTACCCCCAGCCCACCCCCCTGCATCCCCAGACTCACCAGGAAGGGTCAAACACCTTGTACCAGCTTGGTGGCAGGCCCTCCAACCGGGTAGCCTCATAGTCCACAGGATCATCATCATAGTCCTCGGCAATGATCTCTTCCTCCGGTTCTGGCAGGACAAGGAGGGAAGGAGGACAGCAGTAAGGACCAGAGGGATCCCCATCCTGCAGTCAGGGCCTGGGAAGACACACTCACATTCACATGGACCACGTGTGTGTGCCAGGTCTCAAGTGCCCTAAAAAATATTGCTCACATTCCAAATCCAAGTATCTGAATATCAGGATTTACCAAAAAATTTACCCAAATCTGTTCTGTTTCTGGGTTCAGATATGACATAATGTTACCTGAACTTATCTGGTTTCAGACTTTAGACAGGGATTCATTAAAAAACATGTATCCATATTTATTCAGTTCCTGAGTTCAGACAGTATGTGATACCATACTATCCAAATCTGTTTGGATAAAATTAGTTTAAATAGCAAGGGGTTTATCTAAAAATATGTCCAAATCTGTTCAGCTCCCAAGCTTGGCAAATATGAGGTTTCTGACTCTGGTATATTGACTAGCAAGTTTGGATAGCAAGGGATTTATCCAAATGCTTCTCTGAATCTATTCAGTTCCTGAGGCCTACAACTGTTGTCAGTTACTATCAACAGAATGAAAAAGGTGTATGAGTACCTGTACCTCGTAGGTCTATCATAGATTTCACCTATGGATATAGCTAACAATGAAATGTATATGTCAGCAACAGCAGAGTGCCTGTCACACAACAGGCCCAAAATAGATGTCAGCTATAATCATCGGTATTTTTAGTAAGATATATACAATCAGCACAGGGCCTGGTACCAACAGCCTTAAAGTAAATGTCATATCAATGATCATTATCAGTATTATTAACCAAAGATCTATGCTTGGCACACAACAGGCTTGTAATAGATGTCACTTATCAATAAAGTGAAAATAAGATGAGTTTTCCAGTACCTGGAACACCCTAGCCCAAACTAGATGCCAGCTTTTGCTATTACTTACAATAAGGTAGAAATACTAGCAACAGCAGCACAGTAGGCCGAAATGATAGATCCTATCATTATTTTATATACTGTTCGCCATAATGTGTATGACAGACACTTAAGTAAACCCAAAATACATGTCAGCTATTGATACGGTGAACAATAAGGTATATATCACCAGCACAGTGCCTGGCTCCACAGTAGGTCTAAAATAATGTTATCTATTAGTATGGTAAAGAGCAAAGTATTAGCATCCTGCCACTGTGCTTGGCCCACAGGAGGCTGCGGTAGATGTCAGCTTCTGTCAACTGTTACTATCCTTACTATTAGATCATTTGTAACCACTTCCAGGGATTGATGGATGGATTAAACTTGGGATATAGAAGACCCAAAAATACACGTCAGCTGTCAGTATTATTAAGGATGAAATGTCTATACCCCGTCCCCACCCGCCTCCTCATACGGTAGGAATGGGTGTCAGGATACGCACTGTTAACAATGAAATGCCTGCCACCCCACTGCTTGGTGCGAAGTAGGTCCATGCTAGGTATCAAGTGGCAGTATCAACAACAAAGTGCCTGTCAAGCCTGCCACATTGGTAGGCCTATCTGCTCTTAGCTCTCTCACCGGGCTCCAGATGTTTGAGAATGCCTCTCTTGGCCAAGCGGGTCTGCAGCGCAACGGGCAGCGGCATAGCGAATAGCAGACAGACCTAGGGAAGAACAGACAGACCAAAAAACAGCTCAGATGAGGACTGAATCTGATCTTGTAACCAAGCGCCTCCCCCCAGCAAGTACTCATCTGGATCCCCACCTACACTAGGAGCTGGGCGACAGACCCTACGCTAAAAGGTGGAAGGGATAAATGGCAATATCACCAAAACTCTCACCAACCCTCCTCTCCCGGGCCGGGTGCTCCAGGACCGGGTTCCTCTCCCAGGTCCAGGCTCCGCCCACTGCCAAAGGGGCCAAAAGCGGCTGCCCCTCGCCCCAGAAATGGGCTCACCCAACTTCCCCCGAAGACTACCGGGTGGAAGGAACCAAAGCGCTGGGATGGGGGAGCAGAGTGCAACACCTCCAGCTCCAAAAAATGCGCCCACCCCGACATTACCAATACAGTCACGCGGGTAGTGGAAAGCTGACAGACTGGCCGTCTCTCTCTTGTCGCTTCTATGATTGCCAGGACTACACGACTCTCTTCTCCCAAACCCCAGAACGAGGTCCTCTCTCTGCGAGCCCGGAGGAAACGGCTAAGCTCAGGCTGCGGCGAAAGGACGACACAAACTTGGCTGGCCAATGAGAGTGCCCCTTGGTTTGACTTCTTCTGGCGAAACGACCCAATCACTGCCCTGGAATAGGTGGAACGCTCGAGCGCCTGTGTGCATTTATGGTGGGGGCGTGGCCCAGCCGGGGTTTAGTCAGACTGCGCGGCCGGACGCCGGCGCCATGGAGGAGTACGCTCGGGAACCTTGGTACGGCGAGGGGCGCAGGCCTCGGGACTGTTGCTGGGGCGCCACGGCCAGCGGTGGGAGGAGGGCGGGGGAGGCACCGGCCACACAGCGCCATGTCCCAGACTCGGGAGACTCTTAGACGTTTGTTGTCTCCTTCTGCTCCCCTCCACTTGCTTCCTCCTACTCGGGCTCCGTTAAGAGGGGCCACAACTGTGTGCCTAAAGGAGAAGGTGCGGTGCAAGGACGAACCACTCCACGTTTCCTTTGCCTTCGTACCTCCCAGTCTCTCTTTGTTATCGAACAGACACGCTGGTCGTATCTATTCCAGCCGAGGGGGTGGTGCGGTGTTGAGCGGTGCTGGATCATCCCCCCGGTCTGCGATTGGTTTTCCCAGTACCTCCCAGTCTCTCTTTGTTATCGAACAGACACGCTGGTCGTATCTATTCCAGCCGAGGGGGTGGTGCGGTGTTGAGCGGTGCTGGATCATCCCCCCGGTCTGCGATTGGTTTTTCCCAGTTGTACAGGTTTAAAAAAAAAAAAAAAAGAGGGTGTGGCTTGGTTGGACCTGCTCATTGTGGGAAAAGGGGGTGCGGGCCCGTTCTGCTTTAGTAACAGTGCTAGCTTAACACTTCTGTAGCGCTTATTTAAACTTGCCAACTCTTTGCTTGTTATCAATTCATTTAATCATTGATAGTAGTAAAGCGGTTGATTTCTTGGTTGGCTGCGAAGGGGAGGGGCGGACAGGGCAAAGACTAATATTTTCCCTCCTTCGCACTATTTCTTGCTTAAATGAGGGGGAGAATAATCTGTTATCTGAAATTCTGCTTCCCATTTGGGTGACTTAGTTTCTCCCAGTTGGAAAGAGTCCTTGTGACACGGCAAGAGGGAGGGCTCACATTAACCCCATCCTCCCCTTCCCGCTTGCAGCCCATGGCGAATTGTGGATGATTGCGGTGGCGCCTTCACTATGGGTGTTATCGGCGGTGGAGTCTTCCAGGCCATTAAGGGCTTCCGCAATGCCCCTGTCGTGAGTCCTGGCCTTCCCTGGGTGGCGCGGGGGTCCTGCCCTGCCCACATGGGATACTGTTATGAAAACTGCTTGGAGCTGCCAGTCACATGCACTTATTCATTCTGGTGCCTGCTCACCTACTATATGCCAGGCCTGGCTCCAGGATCTGGAAGTTTGGAGGAACTGCAAACATGACCTCTGCCCCCCACCCCCCTCACCCAACTGGAGCTCCTCTGTGGAAATGCTGTGATGTCAAAAGGGTCATCACCAAAACCTAAATGTGTGTGTGCAAAGCCAGTCAGATTTTACCTAGAGGCAGATTCTGGGTTGGAAGCCTGGATAGAGGGAAGTGACAGGAGTTTAACTGGCAGGAGGAGGACAGCCTTAAAGCTGAGAAAATGCTTTTAATTTAACGTAATCGACTCCCTCTCTCTCTCACTCTCTATGTCTGACAACCCCCCTCCCCTTCCTGGGAGACCTCATCAAATGTCATGACTTTAAATGCCATGCATTTGTCAAGGTCTCTGCAATTTCTCTGTCTAGCCCTGTCCCTCCCCTCATCTCCTGGAGCTCTCTTTCCTGGATCTTTGTCCACGTTTCTCCCTCTCATCCTCAAGGTCTCAGCATAAATGTCCCCCTCCTTAAAAAGGTCTTTCCTGACCCTTCAGCCACTGTCATAGCTCTTTTTCCTATTTCCTCTAGGGTTCTTATTGCTGTCTGAAACTATCTGTACCCTTATTTAGGATCTGTCTCCCCCACTATAATGTGAGCTCTGAGAGCGTAGGCGCCAGGTCTACCTTGTTTACTGCTGTATCCCTGCACACAGCATGGTGCCTGGCACATAGGTGCTAAGTAATGAATGAATGAATGATTTCTCATCCCAGCTCTGAGAGCACCTATATTGGGGTGCTCCCTAGCCCCCTAGTTCTTGGCCACTTCCCCACATCTCTACCCCTGATACCCCTCCAGGTTTCCTGCCCCCCATCCCTCTCTTAAAAGCTAGAAACCTTGTCTGCCAGTGGCCTCAACCGGGCTCTGATTCCCTTCCTCCTCACTTTCCTCCAGGGAATTCGGCACCGAATGAGAGGCAGTGTCAATGCTGTGAGGATCCGAGCCCCTCAGATTGGAGGTGAGAGGTTTGGGGAGACAGATGTGATAACAGAGTTGAGGTGGTTGCTCCTTTGAGTCTAGACTGCAAGTTGGGGGTCCAAATTCTAGTCCCATCTCTGCCTGGGACTTCCTGGGGGAGTGACGTTTCTCAACAATTTCATATGGGTGAGTTCTGGAGTTTAAATCCAGGCCCTGGCTCTTCCCTGCTGTGTGACCTTGGGCTAGTGGCTTAACCTCTCTGAACCTCATCTGCAACATGGGGATGACAAAACAGTAAGTTCTGTAATTTATGTAACTTAGGTAGTACTTACTAAGTGCTGGTTGCTCTGTTAAGCGCTTTGATAGTATTAACTAATATAAATTTTCAGAAGTCAAGTAACATGCAGTGCATAGATCAGGTCCTGGCACACAGTAAGACTTGAGTAAACATTTTAACTATTGTATTGTTAACTGGCTTTGCTAACCCCTTTCCTTCTCCCTGAAACCAAGGTCAGAATTCCAATTCTGTGTGGTAGTTACGAAGATCAAAGTTACTCTGTTAAAAGCCATATAGAAGGGAGTTCCCTGGTGGCCTGATGGTTAGGATTCCGGGCTTTCAGTGCTGTCACCCGGGTTCAATCCCTGGTCAGAGAACTGAGAGGAATGAGTGCATGGCGGGGCCAAGAAAAAAGCCATATAGAAGCAGATAAATCTGCCCGTAAATACTTGTCAGCCCCCTGTGAAGGTGAAGGGAGTGCCGATGGCAATTACAGACAGATTGAAGGAGCTACCACAGAGACAGATGGGGGCTCTCCCCTAGGAGTTTGCCATCTGCCTTTGCCTCTGGGTTTATCCCCCCATTCTTTGCCAGAGCGTTCAGGCCTTGGGAGTCCCTGAACCCTTAGCCGTATATTCTGGGGATTCCCCACAAACACTAATTAGGCCGTGGTACCCCAACAGGTAGCTTCGCAGTGTGGGGGGGCCTGTTCTCCACCATCGACTGCGGTCTGGTGCGGCTGCGGGGCAAGGAAGATCCCTGGAACTCCATCACCAGTGGAGCATTGACCGGGGCTGTGCTGGCTGCCCGCAGTGAGTGCCCCATCCCCAGGCCCCAGCCCCTTCCACCCTGTTCTGCCTGCTCTTACCTGTCTCCCCGTGCCTCCTCATTCCTCCAGGTGGCCCATTGGCCATGGTGGGCTCAGCAATGATGGGAGGCATTCTGTTGGCCCTCATCGAGGGTGTTGGCATCCTCCTCACTCGCTACACTGCCCAGCAGTTCCGCAATGGTGAGTTCCTGGTGAAGCTGGCCAGGGAGAGGTGGGAAATGCTCTCTGCCTTGCCTCCTCCACTCATCTTTATCCACTTCTCCCTGCTCCAGCACCCCCATTCCTGGACGACCCCAGCCAGCTGCCCCCTAAGGAGGGTACCCCGGCCCCCGGCTACCCCACCTATCAGCAATACCACTGAGGAAGTGACCGCCTGTCATCGCCACCGTGGGAGCTCCTCCTTGGTTCCCTCTGCGATGATCTACCTCTAAGGGAGGGCTGGCTCCCGGTTGGCCCTGGGACCCTCCAGAGAGGGCCTCTACTCTGTTCCCTTATCCCAGGTTGGGGGTGGGGCACCCCAGCTGCCCTGATGGGTGGGTCCCTTCTCTCTCAGGCACCCCAGCCCCCACTCATATGTAACAAGCTCTCACCCCAGTCCCTTTGCATGGCACCCTGATCAGTATTTAAAGCCAGTTTTGAAATGCCTATGTATGTACTCCTTGAGCCACCCATTGGAGCTGCTCTCTAGGACAAGGGGTAGAGCCCTCTTCAGGGACTTGGGAGCCCTAGGATTTGGAGTCCCACAGAGAGTGGACTCTAGTAGAGGTTTGTGGGATGAATGTGTAGGAGGGGGAATGAATCCAGATGTGAATAGTACATTAATAAGGGGGCCAAGTGTTGAATCACAAGCAGACAGAAGAGGAACAGGCTTGGGAAAGAAATGAGTGAACACAGGATTGCTGGGGTAGAGGGGTGGTTCAGCATGCGGCACCTCTGACCCCTCTCCCCCATGTCCCCATTGCAAAGACTGGGAAATCTGACCTCACAGTGAACTCTGTCTTTCTGAATACCAGTCACCCCGTTTGTGAAGATAATTCCCTCTCCATGTGGCCTCACCAGGGACCTGGGATGGAAGTAGGGGTCGGGGAGACCCAGCTTCCTTGAAGACGGTACCCTTAATTTTCTCTTTTGCACTACAGAGAGATTTCTGCTCTGCAATGCTCAGGGTTGTCAGTATTTAAGGTTACCGGATGAGGTTTCGTTTTGGGGGTGGAGTGGGGGTTATGGGAGAGAGATTTTCTCGGATGGACATCGGCTCCAAACACTGTCTCTTGCATGCAAACACCTACATGTGTGGGGCAGACGCCTCCACTGGGGTGCAGATGGCCTCATGGGAGACACACCAACTGTCCCTTTTATGCAAGCCATTGCAAAGAGGTGGAAATGCCCTCTCATACAAACTCGCTCCCTGGGGGTGCAAATGCGGAGTTCTCAGGCCTCCCAAGGCCCCAACGAGGTCCTAGTGGTCCTCGGAGGTAGTAGAAACTGCAACGCTGCTTGATGGACTCAGTGCCAGGCACGCGTAGCAGGCCCCGTGCACACAGCTCTCTCAGTGCCCCAGCAGG